AGAGAGAGAGAGAGAGAGAGAGAGAGAGAGAGACGGATAGCAACAGTTGTTTTTACAATTCTCAGCTTATCTATATTTTAATTAAACAATTTATAATTTAAACAAACTAGCTCAAAATTTAAAATCTAAGTTCTAACTTAAAATAATAGTTTATAAATTTAAACTGCTGTCGTAAAATAGAAATTATTAAAATTTAAAAACTAATACCAGTTGATATTATAATTTATAAACAATAAAATATACACACATTTTAATTTTAATATAACATAAATATTAAATAAGTTTTGGTCCAAGTAGAACAATATAACCTTATTGTTTGCATAGACTATTAATTTCAACAATCAACATGTAATACACTATAAAAGTTAGCAAATAGTTTATAAGCTAATAGAATAAGTTCAATTAATAATTAAAATATACAAATAAGCAATCTAAAACATTTAACACCTAAAATCAAACCAATAACCTTGGTAATTGTACAATATACAAAAATATTTAAGCTTGCCAATTACGTAAATTAAACTAACTAACTTAATTTACACAACAAAACCAATCCATACGTAATTCAGTAATACTGAACAATACCAGTAAAAACACAAACAAAAACAATAACCAACGTAATTTATGTAAGTACACACACATAAGTAAAGCACATTATGGGCACCGGTATGTTTGTGCTGTCGAAGCGTTTGTGTGTATTGTTTTTGTTTGTTATATACAGTGTTATTGTGATCTATGTTAATAATCAGCACAATTAATAAACACACAATTTAAAACTAATAATTACCATAATTAATAAACCAAGTAATAAACAACACTATTTATTATTGTGCACAGCTCATTTCGCTGAAAAATAGTTCAAAGTCTGACGTAAAGTTCAACACCGATATATCGGGTGTGTGTGCGTAAAGTTCACACACATTATACACATAATCATCATTAGATAAATTGTACGCTTAATTATTATTACTATTAATTAATCTAGTTTACAAAACATAAATAAATAAATCACCTTGGTCAAATAAATGTACTAATTTACCATATTTTTAAACCACACTGATATAGTTGGCGCGACGGCGGACACAGCCATCACCACCACCTCTACCACCACCAGCACCGCAATCCCCACCACAACCACCGGCGCCACCCCTACAGCCATGACCGACGCCGACGCGGCCAACGCCAAGGTGTTTGTCGGCCGACTGCCTGACGGCTGCACCGAGAAAGACCTCGAGGACCTGTTTCGCACCTATGGCACAGTCAAACAGACCGATCTCATTGGCAAATACGGATTTGTGGTAACGTATAGACACCGGCGTATAGACCCGTACTTTCACACAACTCGCCCCCACATAACACACCCCTTCCCCTCTCTATATGGTAACCCCCGACTCCCCCTATAAAGGGTTGTGGGCTGTGTTGGTGTTGTTGAAGTACACCCCTGTGGTGTTTAAGGGTGTGTCATGTGGTGTGTGTTTAAGACAGTTGTCTCTGTATATTGTTTTACCACAGGGGGG